AAAAGAAATCATGGAGAGGGATCCCTTATCCCAACTGTGTGAGAATGAAATGGATTTTATTTGGACTTTGAGACAAGACTGTAGAGAAAATTTTCCACAGTCATTGCCAAAATTGCTGCTCTCTGTCAAATGGAATAAACTTGAAGATGTTGCTCAGCTGCAGGATCTTCTTCAGATATGGCCTAAATTGCCTCCTAGAGAAGCATTGAAATTGTTAGACTTTAATTATCCAGACCAGTATGTAAGAGAGTATGCAGTGAGCTGCTTGAAACAAATGAGTGACGAAGAGCTATCTCAGTTATCTTCTACAACTTGTAAAAATTTTCAAATATTAATCCTTTCTTGATTGTGCCCTATCTAAATTCATGTTAGAGCACTTGCTAATAGGAGGATAGGGCAGTTTCTATTTTGGCATCTTAGGTCAGAGGTGTATATTCCTGCCTTCTCAGTGCAAATTGATGTAATACTTGAAGCCTACTGTCAAGGAAGTGTGGGGTATATGAAAAGTGTTTTCTACAGGCTGAAACTCTTAATAAGCTGAAGACCTTAAATAGTTTAATAAAATTGAATGCAGTAAAGTTAAACAAAGCAAAAGGAAGCGAGGCAATGCACACATGCTTAAACAAAATGCTTGGCAAGAAGCCCTTTCTGATCTTCAGACACCTTTGAATCTTTGTGTCATACTCTCAGAATTTTATGTTGAGAAGTGCAAGTACATGGATTCTAAAATGAAGCCTCTGAGAATAGTATACAGTAAGATATTCCAAGGAGATCTACTGGGTGTCATTTTCAAAAATGGGGATTATCTACAACAAGATATGTTACACACCAAATGTTGTGGTTGATGGATTTAATTTGGAAAGAGGCTGGATTTGAACTCCAAATGCTACCATACAGTTATTTAGCAACAGGAGACTGTTCTGGCCTGATTAAAGTTGTTAGTACACATCTGAAACAACTGCCAATATCCAGCTAAATAATAGTAATGTTGCTGCTACAACTGCCTTCAATAAAGATGCTCTTCTAAATTGGCTTAAAGAATACAATTCTGGAGATGACTTAGATCAAACTATTGAAGAGTTCACTCTCTCCTGTGTTGGCTACTGTGTAGCTTCTTACATCTTAGGGATCAGTGATAGACACAGTAACAATATCATAGTCAGGAAGACTGGACAGCTCTTCTGCATCAATTTTGGATATATCCTTGGAAACTTCAAGTTTAAATTTGGCATTAAATGGGGATGAGGACCTTTCATTCTTACCTATGATTTCACTCATGTCATTCAGCAAGGAAAAACAGAAAAGTTTACCTGTAAGTGTTGTGAAGAGGCTTATCTGATTTTATGAAGGCATGGAATCTCTTTATCACTCTGTTTGCCCTGATGTTGACTGCAGCACTTCCTGAGCTAACCTCAGTCAAGGATATATAGTATCTTGAGGACTCTTTGGCCTTGGGGAAGAGTGAGAAATAAGCACTTAAGCAATTTAAGCAGAAATTTGAATTTCTGCTTAAGAGACAGGGAGAAGAAAAGGAAGAGAAGGAAAATAAGAAGCAAAGGGAGAAGAGGAAAAGGAGAGAAAGGGACCATAAAAGAACAAAGCAAAGGAGAAGGAAAAGGAGAGACAGCTCTTGTCTCCAATCATGTCCCCAGGCATTCATCCCAACTGGGCCACTTTCTGAGTGACTCCATGGGTCACGGTACTGTGACCACATTTCCTGGGTCATTTGGGTCAAGTCATTTTACTTCACAGAGTCTCAATTTCCTTAATCATCAAATAAAAGGATTGAACCAGACTTCTAAGGTGTCTTCTACCTCTACCATTCTATGACTAAGATTTTTCTAAGTTCACAACACCAGATTTTCTTTCATATGGGAGAATCAAGTGACCCAGGGAGCAATGGAGGGATGGACATCAGCAAGCTGTGGCATATTACCAACAATGATTTTTAGCTTAAGAAGAGGCAAATGATAACATATAGACAACTCAAGAACTATATCATTATTCCCACATGATTAAAAGAAAAGGAAGGATTTTCAGAGGGATTTTTAAAAAGACTTGGACAAGGTTCACAATGAATAAGAAGACATAGAGGCCCTGAAATCTATTCCATTAGATAGAATGTACATACAGTGAAATCACAGATATACCTAAGCATCTATGTAACAATAGCTCACATTCACGTGGCACTTTTTATTCACAAATCACTTTCACAAACTTTTGCTCATTCATTTTTTTCCCAGCAATCCTGTAACTGAGAAAAGGAAGAGATTATTGTCTTTATTTTACAGAGAAGGAAGCCGAGACCAAGAGAGGTGAAATAACAATAATTTAGGCAGGTTTTTTTTCTTTGTAGACAATCACATGTACCTATCAAAGTGGCATACTTGAAGTAATACTGTTTTTTGTCCATTTTCAAAAAGGACCAATGATATCATGAAGTGATGTCTTTTGACTTACACATAAATTAGATATGAGTGAGGTAGAGACTCACTCTCTCTTCCAGAGTCAATGAAGTCCAGTGACAGGAAAAAAATCAGGATGACTGGTAATACCCAGGATGCAGTGGCTGATGTTGGTGTCTTTGATGTCTGACCAAACTCTGAGAACTCCTTACAGCCTGCTTCATGGCTTTTGGAAAAAATTTCTCTCAGTCACCCATTCCATCACAGGGAAGTTTTAACATGCTTGGGGTAGACATCCCCCTACCTCACCCACAGTTTTGAGGCCTAGATTTTGAATTAAAATTTCTGAGTGCAATTCTTGGCTCTGCAATTAATGACCTAGGTGTCCACGGGCAAGTTATTTCCCTTCTCTTAGGTCTCAGTTTCCTTGTTCCTAAAATAAGAGAATTGGACAAGATGGTCTTTAAGGGGTTGTTTCCTGCTCTAATTATCTGTGTTCTAAGATCCCTTAGAGTTCTTTACCCTCTGTAATTATGTGCTGACTTATTATACAGGTAAATTCTCCTTTCCCCAATGAACAAGAGGCATCCAGTTTCTTTCTTATAGAATAGGTAAGGACTACTGACTATGTGAAATTGTGGTGCAATTAGTAGGAAGCAATAATTCATCTGAGTCTCCTCATTTACCTAAAAGGGAGCTAAGACTCTCAGAATGAGAATAAGTCACTTTGTACTGTTCAACTTCTTATGTTTTCAGTATTCTCTAAGAACAGTGGCCTTAAATAAACAACCACTTTTTTCTAGAATCTTACCACTAGACCTATTAAATCTTAGATGTCAAGTTTGCATAAGATTATCCAGTATGATTCGGATGGATTTAAACCAGGAAAATAAACATAGTTCAACAGAAAGATATCTATAAGTACAATATGTTATATTAACAATAAATATTAAAATGAGTTTATTATCTACATATACAGTAAAAATTTTGACAAAACACAAAACACATTCATATTAAAAGTACTGGAAAGCATGGGAATTGATGGATCTTTCTTCAAAATAGTAGAATATTAAAAACCAAGAAATGGCGCCATTTGTAATGTTGTTAAGTTATTTTTCAATCATGTTCAATTCTTTGTGACCCCATTTGTTTTTTTGGGGGGCGGGGCAGGCAAAGATACTGGAGTGGTTTGCCATTTCCTTAATGTAACCAATCACATTGTCCTCATTCCCATGATGTTGCCAACCCTACAAATAATTGTATTATTTTCCTTACCTACACTATTCTGGTTTTTGTGCAATGCTTATATAAAGGAGCTATAATTCCTCTTATGGGTCTTTTGGCCTAATTGAGGTAGCCATTTGACCCTCTGTATTAATATGTTCAAAACTAGATAACGAAATGGGAGGTGGCTCAGGGAAAACATGGTGGCTCAGTTTACTTTTGTTGATTTTCACTCATGACAGTTCCATAACATTTCAAATTTGGCTTAGCGCCACTAAGCCAGACAGGTAAGGAAAGGGAAGGACTTAGAACATACTGTCAAAGAAGCAGCATCTGTTGGTCTTGTGATGGTCATCATCACTCAAATCTTTCCATGTTCTCTTTGCTTAAGACCTGCAACAGCTCCCAGCCCAATCCATTAGACTTTCCCAGGGATTCATAGAATATGAGAGAAAATAGGTTCACAAATATAGAGAAAGCCACCCAGGTAAGCGAGCCAGACTCCTCCATCACAACATGATCTCACCTGGCTCCCTTGTTCTCCCTCCTACCATAACATATAGCTCTAATACTACCACATAAGGCCTCATTAATGAACATCTGCTCATAATCCTGAAATATCTCTTGTTTCATGAGCTTCTTACAGGTAATCTAAGAAGTCGGTCTGCCACTAACTCATTGACACTTCCTTTCTCAGAACCTCAGTTTTCTCATCTAAAATAAGAACAGCTTGGCCTATAAAACTGTCTCATTAGGTAACCTTTAAATTCTATTCCTCTGTGATCATCAAGCCTAGAGCTCAACCTCTCCTCCCATGCAGGAATGTCACTTAAACACATTTTCAAAAAGTAAGTAGCTGGCCTCTTCTAGAATATTTTCAACAATGGGGAGACCCCTACATCCTGAAAGGTAGCATAGAATAGTGAGGAATCCCAGCACTCAATTTGGAGTCCAAAAACTTCAAGTCCTGGTGCCATCATCTACAAACTTTGAGATGCTGAGCACATCATTTAAATGCTCCGTACCAGTTGCCTCATCTGTGAAAAGGTCATAGAAGAGTTTCTATCTCACAAGTGCATTGTGAGCAATCAAATGAGGTAAATTACATAAAGGACTTAACAAACCATGATACACTCTATAAATATGATCTGTTACTCTATGAGGAAATTCTACTGATTTCATGTGTTTGGGAAACCAGACTAGTACAAGATTACATGTGACAGGACTCAGGAGTCTGGTGATTACCCCTTCATTTCTGGTTCTTATCTCCAGGCTAACTTTTTCATGAGCAAGTCATTCAGAAGTCATTTGGAATTTGTTTCCAGCATCCTGTATTCATACAAGCTAATTTCACAATCAAGGTGAATTCCTGCCTATATGTAATGCTGGTCCACAGAAGCAGAGCACAGAAGACCAGCTCACTTGGGCTCACTTCACTCCACTCACCTTGCCAATACTTACACTATGAAGGCAGCAGCTGTATGCCTGCTCCTGATGCTGACACTGATATCCATCTTCCGTGAGTATATCTTTCCTGACCCAGCCCTAACCCCTAATATCAGCTGTCCTCTTACAATGATTGACCCAGAGAGTACCAGGATAAACACATGTGAGAGGTGGGCACACTTCCTATTCATAATGACACTTACTTTTCTGCATCTGCCAAGAGAAATCATGCAATATCTGGGCTGGAAGAGACCTTAGGAGACAGAACTGAGATTATAAGTGCTTGAAGGGACCTTAGGACATACAATATTGAAGGTTGTAGGATCATAGACTCTAAAATGTTGGCGTCAGAAGAAATCATTAAAAATTTACTTTTAGAGATGAAATAGAATTTTGAAGTTAATATCAGAGCTAGAAATGGATTTAGTAGATAGAATCCAATCTGTTAGAAATATAACAGATCCTAGAACATAGAATTTTAAACTTAAAAGGGTCTTCAGAATTTACTTAATAAATTCCCTTCATTTTAAAAAGACAGAAAAAGAGGCATGGTGAAAGTAGAAGAAAGAAGTTACTTCCTTCCATTACATTAAATGGAATTTCTTGTCACATTAGAGGAAAGAATTTCCTAAGACTAAGGGAGCAAGCAGAGGACAATTGTTGGGTCATTCAAGAGATCATGTTGCTTAATACTTTTGCATTCTTTATTTCTATTCCAGATGTGGAGTCAGTCTCAGCAGAAAAAGTAAGTCTTCTTTCCCTCAACATCAAACCTTTTTGATATTGCATTTCTATCTTGTAATGACATTGCATTTCAAATAAAGGTGGTCCCAAATTTAAATTATTTTGAAAGAAGACAAGTACAAAATTAATTAGATATTGAGGCTTATTCCCAGATGGCATTATGGGTAAGCCTTCAATGTACTTCTCTCCAAATGTAAATTCTAAAGTTATAACCTGGATAACCAGAAACCAAGTCCACAATGACAGAAGACAAGATTATATCCAGATAGGATAGGTAAAGTTCAAGGTCATAAATCAGAAAACAGTATTATGGGGTCTCCTACTCTAGAAACATCCTCTACTAATGTAGATCAGCACATAGGCTGTAATGTATAGATGTTGAGGGTTGTCAGAATCACAAGAGTTGTTAAGAAATTTGTCAATATCATTACACAACCGATATAAAAGAAGCAGGACTGGCACCCAGATCTTTCTGCCTCCAAAGCTAACCATCTATCTATTTTGCCATTCTGTCTCTTACTCTGCATATTCTAGATGGTCAATAAATGTCTGTTGAATAGAAGATTGAATTTCTGGAGATCAGAGCTCCTCACCCCTCTATGACTATGAAATACAGGGCAAGGGTTGGGGGAGGGGGGAATTGGTTTCAGAGGTTCTATGTGAAGATTCTAGGCATGATTTTCACAGTATCTCCTGATCCTTTTCCTTTTCAGATCCAGAGACCCAAGCATCTACAGGTTTTTAGAAACTTGACTATGTAAAAATCCTATGACCCAAGAAGGAGATAATGTTTATCATTGATTTTTCAGGTTGACTGCAAAGGTTATGAAAAACTGCCACCAAGACAGTCCCGACCATGCACTCTAGAGTTTAGACCAATATGTGGCTCTGATGGGAAAACATATCCCAATAAATGTGCTTTCTGCACTGCTGTTAAGTAAGTACAGGCATCAAATGGAACGGAAGAAAGTTAGTAGGGATAGGGTTAGGGGTGGGGCAGAATTCAGTAGTTAATACAATGGAGACATATTCTTGAATGATATGAGACCAGGGAGTGAGAAACCATTGTTCCATTCCCTTAAAGCTTACCCCAACAGCAGATTAGTGTATACCAGCAGTTCTAGCCAGATGATTCACACTCCTCTCTACCACATTTACTATCTCCATTACCCTTCCCTTCCTCTATATGTATTGGTATACCCACTTTATAGATAAGAAAACTGAGGTGCAAAGCAGTAAAAAGAAGTATCTAAAGCTATAGCAGTAGTGAGGGACAAAGCCAAGATCTGAACCCAGTGCTCTTTCCATGACACCATGTCACCTCGATCAATAGGGCCAACCATGGAGAAGTTCCTTCAACACTTTGGGCTTCTGTTTCCATGTGAATAGAATTAATTATGTATAAAATTAGTGTATAAAAGTAGTTTAACAGTATAATCAGCATATTCTTTCCAGAGCCAACAATACTGTTAATAATTCCTTCCAGAGTTAACAATCAAGGTTTTTATAAATTTATGAACTAGTTGTATACCTTTAGACAAGTCACTCAAATTCTCATTGCTCATTTTTCAGCTATTGCATGTGAGGGGTCCATGAACTCTGTCAGCTCTGACATGCTACAGCTCTAATCCTTCTCCTTAAAGGCATCCATAGTTGTTCACATATCCTCTCCTTCCCACTCATGATTCATCCTATTCATCTTTTCAAATACTAAACAGAGGAGCAGACATGTTTGTGTGTTAAGAAGTATATAAAAGTTTGTGTCGTATTTTTATCTCTGTTCATCATATTTCCTTCAAGTGATTTAGGTCTTATTTTAGATTACTAGTTCTTACTTTAGACTTTAATATGTTTCTACACCTCCACTAATGAGCTGCTCTGATGCCTCATTGTGGCATGGAGGTAGCCCTGGATTCTCAAAGGCTGTATCAGGTGTGTGCAAGTTTCTGGTGAGGTCTAACCAATGCAGAAAGTGTTCTAGCATGAGTACAGTGACAGCTTTTTTTCTGTCATTAGGAGACTTGCCTCCCTAATTTTAAAAATTATAACCAGAGAATCATAACCAGAAGGTTGTCTACAGGGTGGTGAAATTTCTTTGGTCACAGCAATTCATCAAGACAGGAAGGAGTTGAAATCTGCATGAGTGTGAAAATTCCAGAAATTTGAAGAATTGGCTTTTATGACTCCTAGTAAAAACAAGGTGGAGTGAAGTAAAGATCTGATGTTGATTGACTGATAAACAACCATCAGCTATGGTCATTTTGATAGAAATAGGACGAGACTTCAGAAGTCGGACAGTGAAGCATGTCTCCTGTCTCTCCACAGAGTGCTGGTGGGCTCTCAGTGAGAAATGAGACCTATATTTTAAGACATGGAGAACATGTCGATTTGTTTGGGATTTTGTTATTGTTGTTGTTTCTTTGTTTCCTGTACTAATTTATTATGAGGGAGGGTTCTATTGCTAGAGAGAGGGTTGAGTGGTGGACAGACATTGAATAATGGCAATGGTGGGTTTTTTTTAATAGCATAAATTAAATGTTTTAAAGATACGAAGAGTAAATTTTATGAAGTTTAGAGAACAACAGCAACATAGTATTACATAAACATGAAATCTCAGTGTCAGAAGGGATATCATCAACCCCCTAATCCTGCTTTTACCCAATACATGATTCTACTCTGCAACAACACCTCCAAGTGGTCATCTTACTTCTGTTTAAACACTGCCTGTGACAGGGAGCTCATCACCTTCCCAGTCTTTTCTATTGTCCCCTCCTTTGAAGAAAAGGGGAAGTTGGACCAGTATCAAATATCAAAGGTCATTTCTACAATCTGAAGTTTGACATCAGAAAATGGGCTTGTGTATTAGTGATCCTCACTTAACCTTCTTTTCTTGTTCCATAGGCAGAGTGATGACAAAATCAAATTTTCACATGAGGGGCGGTGTTGAATAAGAGCATCAGTTCTGAAACGTCCTCCAGTGCTTCTCATTCCTACTAGAAGATAACACACAAGACATCTCTTGTTTCCAGAAGATTCTCCTTCAGAATGTTGGTTTTTCAACCTCACTTAGAGTGTTGCTTGTTGAATAAAGGAAAATTCACTGAATTTTTTTGTCTGAATTCTCTTAACTGGAGAGATAAACAAAGAACCTAAGATATAGTGAGATATCAAATGTCATAACAGGATTGGAATCTGGAATATCCCACCTACAGAAGGTTTGGTCTTGGACAGGTGAGAGGTAGAACATGTTTACTGGCTTCAAGACTATCAAGGAATTAGGTCTTTTTTTGCTTAGCCTCAAAGGCCAAGGTTAAGACAATCTGAGGTGGGGGGTGGTACTTTTTGCAGAGAGAAGAATTTGAGCTTGATATGAAAAACTTCTTAACAATTAGAGTCACTCAAGAGTGAAATTGCTGCCCAGGAGGGAGTGACCTTTTTGTAACTGGAATTTTTCAAGGAAATGCTAGATGACCATTCATTGGGGATTCTTTAGAGGATATTTCTCCTATTTCAGTGATGGTTTGGAACTTCAAGAAATTCACTGAGATTTTTAAGCTCTCCACTCCTCAAGAATGTTTTGCTAAAATCCAAATGCTCAAAGGAAATATTAAGGTTCATCAATTGACCCCAACTGCCTCACCAAAAAAGAAAAACAAACGAACGAACAAAAAAGAATCCAGAAAAGGCATCTGTGGGAAGATGAGAAAGGTCCCTTGCAAAAAACGAAAGCAAAGAATTCAAGGAGGTTTTCTGACCTGTGACTGAGATAATTTCTATTAGTATGTATATGTGTGTGTGTGTAGGTATATATATATATGTATATGTGTGTGTGTATGTGTGTGAGTGTGTGTGTGTATGTGTGTGTAGATTGTAGGAAGCATCCCAAACACTGGCTTTGATCCTTGGATCTTGAGACCAGATCAATACCATTCTATTGCTATCTAAAAGTAAGCTGTATACTGGAGAGAACAGGGCATCCGAAATGATAGTTGGAATCCTGCCTCTACAAGTCATGGTCTACAAAAGCATAGGACAAATCAGTAAACCTCTCTTGGCCTTGTTTTCCTCACTGATTAAAGGAAATGTTTGGATTAGATGATCCAGTAAGATTTCCTCAAGCTTTAAATCTATGATCTATATGAGGTAAAGAGAAGACTCTGGGAGACAATTTGTCATCCATGTTTCACCAGTTAAGGCTTATGTGTCCAGATTGCCATTTGTCAAACTGCTCAGAGTCATTGGCAGTGTATACACTTAACATTTGGGGGAACACATCATGGGACCAACAAAATAGAGAACTAAATATTTTCACCAGTCCTCATGAACTGTCACAAACTCCCCAAAATAGGAATTATGCCAAAGCAATAAAGTAATTGCTGCTGTTTCCACAAGCCAAGGTGATAATGTGGCTTAGACCCTCCTCAAGATGTGGAATAGGGTGTCAATTTGTGGCCTCTGGAGAAGTACAGTAGACATTTCTAGGCTCTTTTCCTATCACCCTTCTCTAAGGAAGACTTTATTCCTTGGCAGGAAGAGAAGCAGCACGTTGAGGCCAGAAGTTTGATCATTCTGCTCTCTTCAAGGAGAGGAGGTACCAGGCTAGAATTGGATCTATTTGCTCTCTTAGATATTGTTCATGGAGGGAATGAATTTTTCAGGATCAGGTTAAACTTCTCACTACTGTTCATTGCTGGAAGAAGCAAAGCAGTACACTAAGATTTATATCCAAGTCTTGGCCATTCATGCAAGTACAAAGCATAGATCTCCATCAGTTAGGAGGAGTACCATCCCAATAGCCTCTGGGACTTGGGTAACAGTAATAAGCCTACTTAGGTAACAACCTTATAAATTAACAATAAAGAGTCTAATTCCTAATTGACTCACTCATCATAACTTCCCCGACAAGTACTCACATTTTGACAGGGCACATAATCTGACCCTGAAAGAAGAAGAGAAGGAAGCACACAAGAGCTTGGGATGCAGCCCAAAGGGACGTTTCCTCTAAATATGAGCCAAAAAATAAATGAAAAAAAAAGATGTTCAATACAGAAGAAACATTCCAAATGCCCATAGAAAGAAAACTAGATCTGAAGAAATTGTTTGATTCCCAAACATCCCTGAAATCAGAAATACAAGGAAAGCTAAATAAGTACTTCAACCAAAAACAGCAATAAAAAACAAAATAAGAAGACAGAAACTATTCAGAGATTTCTTTTTAAATGTACAAGGCATTGGATAAGGATGAAAGGCAAGGTCAAAAAAAAAAGTTGTGCTGGAGAAACAAGTTTGAAAGATCATGCACTAAACCTCATCACACCCTGACTACAGGAAAGTCACTGTTCTCCTTTTTGTTTTTAATGAGGCTAAATTACAGAAAGGGAGGGAGAAAGAAATGGAGTGGTAGAAGAAGTTTACAGAAGGGAATACATGATGTACCTTAATTATGTCAAAGGGAAAATAACTCCTCCTTCTTCTCAGGAAGAAAATAGCCTAAAAGAGAATGGATAGAGATAAAGAGGAGAGCTAGAAAAAGACAGTAATGAAGAGAAAATTCTTTTTTCAGTGGTGAGGTAGGGCACCAATGGTCCTATGAGACAAGAGAAATATTCTGTGATGCAAGATGAAGATCTTATAACGGGTGTAATCTGCAGAGATTTTATGCTTAGAGAAACCACTCATCCTTCCTCAGGAAAAAGGAAATCAGAGTACCTGGGGGCAACTGACATCCTGAGGACTGAGACAACATGGACCAAAGAAGGAAATTTGGAAACAATGGTGGGAAAAATGACCAAAGAGAGGGCAAAGGTCAATGATGAACTAAATAATCAGGGACATTGGAAAATTTCTACCTTGGGACAATATCTTCTCATTATTTGGAAGAATTCTTATTTCTAGGAGTGTGGAACAACAGGAAAAAAGGGTGAACAAGTGCTAAGGTTTAAAAAACAGTAACATAAAACTTTCTTAGAATAAATAACCCAGGTATCTTAGAAGACTTAATTCCATGAGGAATTCTGAGACTAAACAAGGACTAAATAAGCATAGGGACCATGAATCAAAGTCTGAAACAGGCAAGGGAAGTTAAATAATGGAGAAAAGGAGAGAAAGGAATCATTTGTTTAAAAATAAAGTATAGAAAATGAAATTTTAAATACTAACAAATAAAATAAGTTAAAGATGAGGAGAAGAAGGTGGATTCCACTTGACTACTCAACTGGGACGGTAAAAGGGAGTGAGAATTAAATAAATAGATAATTAATGGAAAGAAAAAATAACTATTCTACAAAACTCCTAAGGGATGGAGTAACAAAGGGGAATGGTAGGGGGTGGGAGAAGCAGACCTCTAGGATGAGAGGAAGAGAGCCAATGGAAAAAATGATTACCTTAAAATATATTAAGTTAAAATAACTAAAAAGACACAGCATTGTGTTGAAAAATAGAAAGGGAAAAATTTAATTTGGAAATACATACCTATATGGTTACATTGCTATATACATATTCATATAAGATAAATGAAAATATATAAACAGGTCCTAATTTTAAATATCAATGGATTAAACAATCCAAGAAAATAAAAAAGAATGACAAAATGAAAAAAGAAAACAAAACTTCATAAATTGTTACTTGCAAGAAACATTAAAAAACAAAAACATCCACAGAATTAAAATGAGAAGTTGGAAAAATATTTACTTTCCATCTAATCAATTAAATAAACAAAAGTTGCAATCATGGTGTCAAAGCAAAAACAAGCATTTCCAACATAAAAAGGAATAAACAAGGGAAATTCATTATGTTGAAATGAACCAGACAACAAACCAACATCAATATTAAACTTACATGCTGCAAATGCCTTAGCATCTAAAATCATAAAGGAAAACTTCAAGAAGATATAGACAATATGTCTTGATATATCAGTGTTCCTCTCTCAGTTCTGGATAAATCTAAAAGAGAACTGAAAGGAAAAATATAGAACTGAAAAAAATTGCTGGAGAAAGTAAAGGTTAAAAAGTGCAATGTCTAAACGATAGACTGCTGACAAATAAAGATATATAGATATAGATATTTCTCAGATGGAACTTTTGCAAAAAAAAAAAACAAAAACAAAAAAACTGAGGCCTAAAGAGTTAATTAACTTGCCTCAAGTTACATTACAACTCAGTATTAGAGACAAGATTTGAATTCAGGCCTTTTGATTGCTAGTACATTATCCTTCCCAGTCCATCATGGTCATTTTTCTTTCTCTAGGGAGCTTTGTCCCTGCCTAGTCAAATGTATTCTTTCTCTTTCTCTTTCTCTTTCTCTTTCTCTTTCTCTTTCCTCTGAACTCCTGTAGCCCTTTGTACCTGTCAGAGAAATTATCATCCTCTACCCAGTTTTAAAATTATGTGTTTCCATGGATTGATTTACCCTGTCCTCCAAATACATTGTGAGTTCCCTGAGGCACGAAGACTGACTTATTTGTTTCTCTATTTATCATAAAAACTCACATGCGGTTCTTCATCTAGCAAATGCTTGCTAAACAATTGTGGAATAGAGGCAAGTGGTTAAATTCTTTCACAAATTTTAAAAAAATCAAAGATCATCTCTATAGCCACTAAAAATACAAACGATGATGCCCACCATCAATGATGACTAGGTTTCCTTTTGTACCACGGTCCACAACCAGGAAAATATCACCGGAAAAGGAAGAAGCAAGTCATGAGGTAAAAGTAAGAAACAGCCTCTACTCAGTCCAAGTTCTACACTGGTACCCCAAAGATAATTAAAGAATCAAAGGAAGTGTCTTGCCTACTGGCTGAATTACCTAAGGATGATTTCCAAATTACGAAGATAGGAATCATACAGGATGAGGTAGGTAGAAGTTTCAAGATATATCAATGCAGTATGAATATCAAATATGATGTCATAGATCCACTGAAGGACTATATCAAAAATAAAAAGATATTAGCTCGCATAATGTAGCATTTAAGGATTCCGAAGCATTCTCATCACTAAAGTCTCATAAGGAGGCAGTAGGAGCAGTGTTATCTCCATTTTATAGGAAGGATATTGGGGATTAGAGATAAGAAAACATGGCCAGAGCCATACCTGTAAACATCATAAGA